AGGACAAGGAGAGCACCGAGAAGACATCTTGGAAACAACAGAATGACTACTGACTGGCACCAGATAACAAATAAATTAACAAGTAAATAGCAAATGTAAACCTTCTGATAAGATTGTGAACCTGGAGTACCCAGCCATTGGGGAAACAGGGGAGGGCGAAGGCAAGGGGGAGAAAACAGGGTATAAAGGCTGTCATGTTGTGTCCATAGGTGCGCTCCTACTTGCGGGACGCCCGCCATTGCAATCGCGAATAAATTCTGCTTTTATCAGAGATACCGTCCTGACAAAAATTACTTGGATTATTTCCAACAGCAGTAAGCAGATTTGGATGCTTTCCTCCATGTGAGTTTGGCACAGTTTCAGGGCTCCCGCTCACTCTCTGGCTGCCAGGTCAAAGCAGTCTGTCTGGCCGGACCGTGGGCTGGCCTTCATGTTCAGAGGTGCAGGAGACCCCCTGTGCAGCCCCTTTGGTCATACCGAAGGCCCAGCCCAGCAGCCCGCCTTCAGATGCTCTGGGAAGAAGTGGGAGCCCGGGGCAGCTTTTCCATGGTGCTCGTGGCTGGGCCTGCCCAGCTGATCCCAGAAAGCCAGAGCTCAGAGGCGAGCTCCACAAGGCCCTGGGCAGCCCTGTGCTCTCTGCCCCTTCTTGTAACTGCTGCGGCTTTCTTATTTGTAGTTTCCTGCCCAACCACGAGAAGCCAGAATATCGCTTGGCTGAAACAGCTTTGCAGCGCGGTGCCGTACTACCATGTAGACGTGGTGTAGAGAAGTGGGAGCGTGTTACTGCAGCTCTGAATCCACATTCCTGGTGCCAGAGATCCTGCAAAGGGACTGACGTGTCCCAGGTCACCGCTTGTCAAAGAGGCACTTGAGGAAGCAATGGGTTGAGGAACTGCTGAGGGATCGGCAGGGCCACGTGAAAGGGAGGGCTGGGAACGGGTGGCAGTGGAGAGGGCTGCGGTGCTCCTAGGAAGCCTGGCCATGAGGATGGGGAGGCATGCCAGACAGCAGCAGCAGCAAGTCACAGAATCACAGAATTGTAGGGATTGGAAGGGACCTCCTGAGATCATCTAGTCCAACCCCCCTGCCAAAGCAGGTTCCCTACACCAGGTAGCACAGGTAGGCATCCAGGCAGGTCTTGAACATCTCCAGAGAAGGAGACTCCACCACCTCCCTGGGCAGCCTGTTCCAGTGCTCCGTCACCCTCACCTAAAGAAGTTCTTGCGCATGTTTGTGCGGAACTTCCTATGCTCCAGTTTCTGGCCATTTCCCCTTGTCCTGTCTCCACTCACCACTGAAAAGAGTCCGGCCTCGCCATTCTGCCCCCCACACCTTAGATATTTATAGACCTGGATCAGGTCCCCTCTCAGTCTCCTTTTCTCAAGGCTGAACAGACCCAGTTCACTCAGCCTTTCCTCATAGGGGAGATGCTCCAGGCCCTTCACCATCTTCGTGGCCCTCCGCTGGACTCTTTCCAAGAGATCCCTGTCTTTTTTGTACTGGGGAGCCCAGAACTGGACGCTAACTGGTACTCCAGATGAGGTCTTACCAGGGCAGAGTAGAGGGGGAGGATCACCTCCTTTGACCTGCTGGCCACGCTCTTTTTAATGCACCCCAGTAAGCCATTGGCCTTTTTGGCCACAAGGGCACACTGCTGGCTCATGGCCAACCTGTCATCCACCAGGACACCCAGGTCCCTTTCCGCAGAGCTCCCCTCCAGCAGGTCATCCCCCAACCTGTACTGGTGCATGCAATTATTCCTCCCCAAATGCAAGACTCTACACTTGCTTTTGTTAAACCTCATCCGGTTTTTTTCTGCCCAGCTCTCCAGCCTATCCAGGTCTTGCTGAATGGCAACACAGCCTTCAGGCGTGTCAGCCAATCCTCCCAACTTCGTATCATCGGCAAACTTGCTGAGGGTGGCCATTATCCCCTCATCAAGGTCATTGATGAAGATGTTGAACAAGACCGGACCCAGCACAGACCCCTGAGGAACACCGCTAGTTACAGGCCTCCAACCGGACTCTGCACCACCAACAACGACCCTCTGTGCTCTGCCAGTCAGCCAGTTCTCAACCCACCTCACTGTCCACTCATCTATCCCACACTTCCTCAGCTTTGTTATAAGGATGTCATGGGGGACAGTATCAAAGAGCAAAGCAAAGTCCATGCGCAGCTGGCACGGCTGTCTTGTGGGAAGTTTCTCAGGGATGCACAGCTGTGTGAAAAGCTTGCTTGTTTTGTGCTTCCAGAGGCTCGTGAGCGCCTGCTCTCCTACATTTGTTTGCCTCCCATCCAGACAAGAGGCCGTAGTCTGGCGGCAGAAAAGAGGACTTCAGCGAGGGCTGAAAGGTGAGCATCTTTGGGAACTGACAGCGTGATGCCCTGCGCTCCATTTGTCTGTGAGGAGCCCTTGCCTGGGCCTGGGCACACTGAGCTCCATCCGGGTGTGCTGTGGCCCAGCAGAGGAGCCCGGCTCTTGGTTCTCTCTTCTTCCTTGTGACTTGAGGCTCACGACTAGCTGAGAGAGAACTGTGACACAGAACTGCCTTGTGCTGCCTGCACGGGGCCATTCCTGGGGAGCACCAGCTGGAGAACAGGCTCCTGCTGTTCTCCAACCGGCTCCCTGTACTGTTGGCAGTGTGCAGCTGCCTGCTGGGAGGAGACGTCCGGAGTGAAGCATGGAAGCGAAAGCGAGGGAGCAAGACAAAGGCAGGCTTCCTGCTTGGCAGGGCCAGCTGGGAGCAGCACTGGTACGTGCTCCACGTGGACATAAACGATGGCGTGACGGGTTGAGAAATACAGTGCTACAGAGAGGGAGTCCTAGGCGAGCCTCCCAAACAAGTTCACCCTCTCCTTTCCTTCTGGTGAGGGACTCTCCCTGCTCCCACGGCACTTGGCTTTCATGCTCCTGCCCACGGCCTGGGGAGAGGAAGCTGTCCACAGATGCCAAAGGGCAGGGGGTGCGCTGTGCTTTGTGGGGGGCTCTGATGGACCTCCCTGCATGCTGCACACAGTCTTGGCCTGCGCTGCTCACCATGGAGCTTGACCTGGGCCCTTCCAACCTGAGCCCCATCGACGGGAGGGCGCTGCTGGTCAAGGCGACGCTGCTGGCTCTCATCTGCCTCTGCTTCCCATGCAGGAAAAGCAGTGGGCTGCAAGTGCCCCGAGCAAACCTGGGGCCTGAGACATCGCTACGCTTCCCACCAGTGAGAAACACTGGGCAGGAGAGGGCCCAAGCTGAGACGGGAGGAGAGAAAAGAAGGTGGATGAGAAGGAGGCTTCCTGCCACCGTCCTTGAGCAGAGGAGGAGTGGGCACTTCTTCTTCCACTGGAGACTACAGAGCCCAAGGAAGAGTGCAGCACCTCTCAGGAAGGCTTGGCAGAGGCGAGCGGTAGAGACTGACTACCTGTGGGGCTGGGGGAGCAGACGCTTCCTCCTCTGATCTCCCCGACACGGGCGCGCCCTGGGAGAGCCCCTGACGCCAATGCCTTTGGTGTAGGCCTGAAGCTCGTTCCACCATGACGAGTTGCTGGGGCCCAAAGGCAGCACGGGTGCAGGGGCTGGGGGAGGGCAGGCTCTGGGGCAGGCAGCGTCTTGGAGAGGGTGCAAGTGAGAGTTTGTCCGCGCTGTTGCAGTGTCCAGTCACTGCGGGCGAAACAGGTCCTGGCCAACCTGGAGACATACACAACATGCCGCGAGGAGTGGAGGAAGATGGAGCAAAACAGGCTCCGGACCACCAGTGCCAAGGAGCTCCTCAGGTGCAAATAGCAGCAGTGTTGGGAGGGACTGCCTTCCCCTGACTGCCTGGTGCCATGGAGAGCAGCGCACTCCTGAGGCTGTGCCCTTAAGAGAGAGCTGCCTTCCAGTGCAGGAGATGTCTGGGGGCGGAGGGACACGTGGCTGGGTTCTGCTGGGTCTTGGCTCTCTTTTTCTACCCCAGAAAGACTGTCCTTCCCTTGGTAGAGCATGGGCACCCAGGCATCTTGCCTGGGGGGCCCCTACCTGGCTGGGCCCAGCCGCAGACCAGTGAGCCACCCATGCGTCATGGCAGTGGAGCTGGGCCCTTGGCCTGGGGGTGTCTCAGAGAGTACAGCAATTCTTTGGGTCCAGACCCTGCTGGAGGTGGGCAGGATGTCTCTCCCCTCTTCTCTGCAGGTCTAGAGCTCCAGAGAGACCAGAGAAAAGCACGAGGCCTTTGTGACAGAGCACAGCAAATAGGCACATTATGGCCAAGTCATACTACACCCACCCACACCGCAGCAATGACCAACTGTCCTCGGAAATCCGGGAAGAAAACTCTCTAACTCCAGTGTGGTGTTAGAAAGTGGCATTCCTTTATTCCTCACGATACATACCGGGCAACATGACTTGAATTTTGACACTGACATCCCAGATGGAATAGCTGATGTTACAAACAGCCACTTCCCAGATGGAATAGCTAACGTTACAAACAACATGATGTTCAAACCGGTTTCTGGGGAGACCTCACTGTGGCCTGCCAGTGCTTGAAGGGAGCATACAAACAGGAGGGGGAACGGCTGTTGACCCACGCTAGCTTAACCCAGTAATTTTCCGCTGTTCTCTACGCTCCGAAGCTTTGTATGCAGAGCAAGCAGCTCACAGTCATGGTGGGCAGAAATGGTTACAATTCCCTGACAGTTGTATAGTTTCTTTCTCCCGTGCATTCTGGAGATGTCCTCGGTTCTCAGCATGTCTTCTCATGCTACTTATTTTGCTCTGCAGCTTCTGCTCTGACTGGTCTTTCGTCTGTTCCCATGCTCCCAGGCAGGTGACGCTCCTTTGGCCTGCAGCCACAGTGTGAAGGTGAAGCACTGGCCTGCTCTTGTGCTCCACGGGAAGTAGGTGTGCTCCTGCTGCAAGCTCTGGGGGGGCTTTGCTGTTCTCTGTCTTCTGCTCTGCCCACCAGGTTCTATCCTTCCCTGGCATGGCGGTGGGAGGGCCATCGGCACTTGTGGCAGCAAGAGTGGCACAGAGTTGCTTTCGGACCCCTCCTGCTCCAGCCTGCACGCCCACAGCCCCATCTGTGGGGGGCCCTGGCTCAACACCAGCTCTCTGGAGCTGCCCATGCTTATTGCCATAGTGGGATCTTCGCTGGTACTCTCCGACACTCCTTTTCCCACACCTCCCTCCTCTCCTGGAGCTCGCGGTCATACTCCATCCTCCGGATGTAGCCTGGAGGAGTGGGGCAGAGGGATTCCTGGAAAGCAAGAGGGAGTCTTATTCAGCAGCAGGTAAACCCATGGATCTGCCTCCAAAGCAGAGGGGACTGCAGGTAGGGCAGAGGGATTTGGGAAGTCCCCCGGGAGGCACCAAGGTCAGAGCAGGGCTCACTGTGCTTCCCAGTTAACTGCTGGGAAACTCTTGTTTTCCTTGCGTTTTACAAATGCCTTACCAGGTAATTTCTGCTGTATCTTAAGCTCTCCTTTTTCTCTGTTTTGGCAACCTCCCACTCCCATGCAGCACGTGCTCTCCGCTGTTACGCAAGGGAGAAAAGAACACAAAAAGTACGTTTAGGAAAGTAACAAAAGGACAGCATTTTGCCTTGAGGTGTCACCAAAGAAGTGCTGCTGCCCATCACTGTGCAGCACTGCACACTCAGCCTTGTCTCTGACAAGCACATAGCATCGAGGGCTGCATCTTTCTGGCCCTGAAGCCAGAGGAACAAGTTTCTTTAGTGTTTATGGAAAAAAGCATCTGTGCCCTGCACAGCCCCGTGCTCACACTACTTCTGGTGGCGCCAAGATCCCCCTACCTGGCTCAAGGCTGCCATCCTGGTCTTCCAGTCCTGCAGCTCTGCCCGCTCAGCCCTTTCTTTCTTTTCCTTCTTCTCCAGCGTGGCTGCCCGCAGGCGATGATGCTCTTGCTGCAAACACAGGTAGCAGACCTCCTGGGGACGCAGGCACGCAGTGCATGGAGTTAGTTTAGTATCAAGGCTTGAGGAGCTCCCGTGCTGCGTCCCAAGCCCTCCTGACTGCAGTGTCCTGCTGCTAACGCCATTAAAGTGAAGCCATGGGGCACCAGCAAGGAGCCTCTTCCTTCCTGCGGTTGCCCCACGTTCCTTATTGTCCTTATTATATACTGCGGCAGGAGACTGATTTGTGTTGGTGACGAGGGACCAGAGAGAGACACTGAGCAGCAATTCACTGCAGTGCAGCAGTGACAAGGGAACTTTGTACCTGTCCTACTCGCTGATGGTCTTTGCAAGCAGGAATTTCAGTTTTCTCCCTGCACTGGCGCACCTTTCTCCTCTTGCCCGCCTTTGAAGAGCTCCCCTCAATTGCTGGTAGCGCACTGAAAACACGAAACAGGCAGAGCTGGGACTCCAGCAAACACACCTGCATCTGCACTGCAGGCACAGGCTGGCAAGCCAGGCACTCGACGCCAGCAGACAGCTGTGCAGCAGTGCCACGCGGTTCCTGGGGCTTTCTGGAACTGGCATTGCCACAAACCCCCAGCCCATGGGCCTGCTGCCGCCTTCCCACCGCTCACCTCTTTGGGCGCGGGGCTCCCAGTGCTGGCTGTGCTTGGGTGACATCAGCGGGCAGCTCCAGCACTGTCACCGGGGGCAGCCTCCGCTGGGCGTGCTTGCGGCTCCCTGCAGGAAGGAGACAGAAGGGCTCTGAGCTTCCAACCGCAGCTGCGCCTTGGGCAGCTCGAGATGGGAGCACTCTGCTGTCGGGGTGCTCTCTCAGCAGCAGTCCCGATAGACTTGCAGTCCTGTTCCTAGGCAGCCCGAGGCAAACCCTTTGTCTCGTGCAGCTCTGGCTGCGCAGAGCAGCCCTGTCCTCTGTGTATCCTCAGTATCCTGTGTGCCTCCTCAGGCCCTGTACCCTCGAGCACCAGAGAGTATCCTTTTTCCTAGGACGCCCCATGGGAAGCAGGAGCTGCCGGGCAGTGCTGCAGCAGGCAGAGCCCCCTGCCTGACCCTGGGGTCATCAACTCTTGCGGGCACTGCGCAGGGACGCTGTCAGTGGCCATTGCATTACAGGGGTTTGGCCATCAGCTCCCAGCTGAATGGGGTCTGAGCACCTCTGCTGGGAGGTTCTGACAATCTCCCCAACACGTTATTCCTCATCGGATGAGGACACGTGGAATCTCTAGGACATACCAACTGCCTTCTGCAACCCGCGGGGCAGAGGTGGGCCTTCGGATGAGGGTGCACAGTCGCTCACCTATTCCCTCTCCAACATAAACACACCCCGCCTCCAGCACAACAGGGCCCAGCGAGGTGCACCCAGGCACGGAGCGCAGTGGGGACTCAGCAGACCTACTGCAGCCTGGCCACAGTGCTGTCCCGGGGGGGGGCCTCTTCCACAGCTGGCCCTGGGGATGGAGCCTCTGGGCTCGGCGCACTCAGCCATGTGGGAGACACCCCTCCATTCCAGCGACCACACAGGGCCCTGCCTCCCCTCGCCTGGCACCAAGGGTGCAGGGAAGCCTGGGCCGGGCCTTACCTGCTGCCCTGCCGTCTCCCTCACCCTCCTCAGCTTGACCTTCTTCCCCACGGAGTTTTCGGAGCAGCTTGGCTGACCCCTGGGTGCCAGATGGCGCGTGGGAAAACTCTGTCCTGGAACCAAGGTGAACACAGGGCTGGAGCTGACACGGAGCATCCCCGAGCCCCATCACATGCAGCAGCAAAATGCCCACCCGAGGCATGTGGCCCTGGGGCTCTGAAGAGTCGGCAGTGCCACCAACCCTCATCCCGCACCTGCCCCCCACCCTGCTGCTGCCTTCCCACCGCTCACCTCTTTGGACGCGGGGCGCTGGGTGCTGGCTCTCCTCGGAGGGCTTTGGTGGGCAGCGCCGGCAGAGTCAAAGGGGGCAGCCTCCGCTGGGCTGTGGGGTGCTTGCGGCTCCCTGCAGGAAGGACACGGGGAGGGCTCTGAGCTTCCAACCTCAGCTGTGACTCGGGCAGCTCGGGATGGGAGCACTCTGCAGCAGCAGTCCCGATAGACTTGCAGTCCTGCTGCTAGGAGGCCTTTGGTCCTGTGGCAGCGCTCAAGGGAAGGAGCACTTGGCAAGGGATGCTTGGGGATGGGGCGGAGTGGGGAAATGTCCTCCAAGCTCTGCACCTGGGAGGCACAGGTGTTCCTCGGGCAGCCTTGGCCTCCGTCCTCTGGTAGTGCGGAAACCTGCTGGCCCGTGTAGGGACTCATCCATTGCTTTACCTTCTTTCTCCTGCTCCTTATACACGTCTTCCCTGACTCCCCCTTCTTCAGCGTCAGACCTGGACTTCAGGCCTGCTAACAGCTGGCTGAAGATACCACTGGACAGAAAGTGAAAGGAAGTGAGGCTGACGGCAGTGTCTCACCCAGACCTGATGTACACCTGCACTCTAGCTGGGAAATGCCATCTGAAGGCCCCTCAGAGCCCATGCAGACAGTGCACCAGCACAGATTCTAACTGCCACGAGGACAAGGTCATGCCTTGCCCGCATCCACCCGCCCACGAGCCTCACTTGTCCATAGGCGTCCTTCTGTGCTTTTGATTCCCTTCTATAGCCCTGTCCCCTTTCTGATGGTGTGGTGGCTGTGTCTTTTGCTGGTGCAGGTACTTATCCTGGTAGCTCCGTGCACCTGTGGAAGAAGACACATAGAGCATCTCTGTGTGCATACAGACGTGGGAGGTGCAGACTTGCCTAGCCCCAGCTTAGGACTTGGGCAGTTTTTACCTTCCTTCTCATCGGCTTCCTTGTCAGGGGAGAGCTCTCCGGCTTTTATTTCAGAGGGCAGCTTAATTTTAAACCTAGAAGAAGGAAGAAGACGCAATCTGGAAAAAACTTCCCCTAGCATCCAGAGACAGAGCCCCACAGGCTGCCCTTAGAGCCACCAAGTCCCTCATCTCCCCAGTTCTCCACAAGGAAAGACTTAGAGGACGTTTCCTCTAACGCAGTGGATGCTTGGGAAGCTGCCTTTTGAAGTGCTATTTGCTGTCCCTCAGCCAACAAAAGGAACGAGGAAGCGAGGCTCTGTAGGACAGGGTGCCAGAATTCCTTTCCAGGTCCAACCCATGTCGACAACAGAGCGCAGCCCCTCCTGCACATGGCTCCAGGTGAGGGTGTCCAGAGCATAGGAGAAGAGTGCTCTCATGGAGGTGACACGGAGCCCTTCCTCTAGGGGCCCTGGCCTTGGGAGCAGGCAGTGTGCCAGCGTGGCCCTGCCAAACAGCAGCTGAGAAGCCAAGGACTACGCAAGCCCATGTACTCACCCTGGAAGCACACGGATGCCCCCGGGACACACATGGAAAGCAGCCGGTTCCCTGCCTGATAGCACACAGACCTCTGTCTGCGGGTTCTGCAAAGAGGACAGAGATGTGAGGGTGAGGCTGGGAAAGGATCCCCTGTCCCACAGGGCAGCAAGCCTGCCCAGTTCACGGCACGGCTGGCCCGAGGAAAGAGAGGACCTTGGAAAGAGAGCCGCAAGACGTCAGACTTACAGCGAGCAGACACTTCAGCACAGCTCCTGTCTGATCAATGGCAAGGAGAAACTCCTCACGGTACCTCATTGTGAGGATCCGATTCCGGCTCATGAGAACCCCAATGCCCTTGAAAACAAGGTCGTAGTCCTCTCCCAGCCCTGCGCCCCAGCTGAAGAGGACCACGATGTCATTCACGCACTCCTTCACCAGCTTCTCTGGCAAGGATGTCTTCAGGGACAGCTGGGAATAGTCCAGGGGGACGACTTTGAGATCATCTAGGAAAGAGGAACAGAGTCAGGCAGGCAGCAACACGGCAGGCTGAAATAGGCCCTGAGGAGCCAGTGTTGCACTCCGGGCCAAACCCACAGCACTCTGAAGCCTGCGGGTCAGGTGCAAAGCACCTGCCTGGAGCTGCAGGGAGCTTTGGAGCTGGCAGGAATGCTGCTGTGTTTCTGAACACGCTCTGGTGCCGACTGCACACAGAGCACCAGTTCCCTGGCAGTTTGGGTAAGAAAAAAAAAAAAAGCAGCTCCGAAGCATTTCCTCTGCAGGCACTTGTCCTCAACAGGACCATGGGGAGCCCACAACAAGGCAGGTCAGAGGGAGGGATACACTGCACGCAGTGCTGCCGTGAAGCCAGCACCCCCAGACAGACACTCTTTGCACATCTCATATGCAAAGGGTGTGCACCAGGTGAGATGTTCTCCTGGAGAGCAACCGCCAGCTTTCTCGGTCGCTCCTCCACAGCAAATTCACAGGCTGGCACCGCTGCAAGGGTCAGCAAAGCCTGCGCCAAGGCCTTACCAGGAATGTCGCTCTTGGTGTAGATGAGCCCCTGGGCCTGTGCCACTCGTTGTGACAGGTGGAACCTGGGGACAATCATGGGCCTGGTCCCCTCGCAGATGCGCTTTCTCAGGATGTAGAAAGTGCCAAGGACGTCTACGGCCACACCCTGGAACCAGCAGAGAGCAGAGGAACACAGATGTAGGCTTGGATGGACAAACGTGCTCTGCCTGCTCCGGAGGTGCAGAGGAGAAGGAGGGCGCTCTTCCAAAAGCTTTGGGTCAGGGCCACCGACGAGAAGGCCGTGATTCTTTCTCTTTCCCTCATAACTCAGAAGGAAAGGAAAAGCCAGACACCTCGGAGCTACGCACAGACTTCAGGGTAGGGCACTGAGCAATTGCAGAAGCCCTGAGAAGTGCCCCAGGCTTTCTGCTGGCTCCCGCCTTCCAGCAGGGAGGAATGGCAGTGGCCAGGAAGGTCTGAAGCCTCTTCTGGACAAATTCCCCACCGGCACCAGCTGCTGCAGAAGCAGCTCTGTCACACCTCAGTGACCCTCCGGGGGTTTCATCAGAGGGAACGGATGGGGTCGCTCGATGGCCCCGTGGCTGCGGGGACTGCTGACAGCACAGAGATACCAGCACGCAGGAGGAAGGGGAGGGACATCCCACCTTTTTGAGGGCAAACTGCTGAAGCATGTACTCAGATGTACTGTCCCAAATGCTCATGACCTCTGAAAAGCAACAAGAGACGTGTCAGATGCTGAGCCCGCCACCCGCCTCCACCTTGAGACAGCATGGCTCGGTGGAAAGGGAAGGCCTAGGTCTCCAGTGCAGGGCACTTCAGGTCTCTGGAGACGCAGGGGAGGTGCCAGTGCTACCAGCAGGACTCCTTCCTGTTCTTGTACTTCTGCTCCCTTCCCTTTGGGTCCAGGGCTCACCTTTCCCAGGGACTTCCTCCCACTGCCCCCACCCCAGACAGTCGGGGCTCCCACGACTTTTCCCCAGCCCATAATTCTGAGATCGGGTGTCCTGCACTGGCAGAAGGACTCCCAAAGCCCCTACCATCCAGGCTGAGCACTTGCAGCGCTGGCAGCTTGACAAAAGGAAACTGCATCGCTATTCACGGGCTTCCCACTTGGAAACTCCTCTGTACTCTCCAACCTCCTCCTCCTCCACACTGCTGTGCTGCACACAGTGGAACAGGGCAGTGTGCCACAGCACCGTCATTGTGATGTAAGGTGACCTACTGTGACATCCCCCACCCAAAGGAATCCAAGCAGCCACGCCTGGTTACCCACTGCTAGAGAGCAGACACCCTTTTCTGAGCCACCTTTCTTGAACAGCAGGCCCTGATTCTTGGTCACGATGATATGGACAGTAGAAATCTTTTGTAATTAACATGGTTGAGTACAAGCATAAAAAGATACCACGATTTTTATGAAATCTGATATTTCACATCAGTAATTAATGTATATGCACTGATGTCTTTATCATCTTGCCAATTTATTGCAGGCCTTTTAAGAGTATGTATATTTTGGGGGGGAGAAAAAGGGAAGGGATGCAAATTTCAGGCCACAGTATGGCATAAAAGCATCCCCCCAAAATACTACACTTAACTAAAAAAAGAGGATTCTCAACTGCTGCAAATGTCAAACCTACCCAAAGCAGTTATATCACACAAGAGAGAGGTGTGAGGAACTGTATGCATGCACCTCTATTATGGCATAAGTCTGCATTAGCTTAAAGATTTGGGCTGTGGCATTGCTGGTTCATGCCTGTGCTTTCAGACAAGGTACCCATGCAAAATCTAAAACTCATGCAGTGATTTTAGTTGAATACATGACAAAAAAAATCAACATGCTTTAAGAATTCCATTTGGGCTCGTTTGAACATGAATTAATAGATTTTCCTTAGTTCTGTAATTGGTTACAAATTATTTACTAGGATTATCTTGACAAAAATCTGGATAAACACAATGGCAATGGATCAGTAACTCTGACATCCTCTATACTTAAATTGGAAAGCCAAATATGAGAATAAAATCCATCCAAAACCAGGTAACTTCTGCTCCCACCTATTTCATGACACTTGTAAAAAAAAAAACTGGTATTGTTTGGCTTCAACTGAAATTCTCAAATAAAAAGCTATTTCAAGAAGAGCGAGATACAAAACTGTTCCTACGTAAATTAAACAACAACAACAAAAAAAGGCACAAATTAACATAGTCCACCAGCTGGCAAATCTGTCAGAGTGATACACGTCTTGCAGAAGAACCAAATGGAATAATTACCAAAAGTTAATAATTAGGCTTCAGTAATATTGCTAGCTTCCCTCTTAAAAGTCTATAAATAATTCCTACAAATGAATGGTTTTCTGCTTTCCTCTGATTAGAAGATTTTTTCAAGAAAATCTTAAAGTTTAATGAATGTATATAAAAATATTTTATAGCTAAAGTTTACAGTTCCAGTAATGCTGTAGTACACAAAATAAATCTATTTTATCACCTGTGCCTAGAAAACACATTGTTATTCAGTTTTACAGCCTGTCAAACTACTGAACTGGATGGGCAGTTTGAAACTGCAGAGAACAAATGCAATGCAGAGAAATGGAATGGCATAGTTCAGTACCTGAAATAGAACAAGTTTGCTCATGTTAATCCAGTGCCTTGCAGCTTGAAGGAATCCACTCAAAAAACAGCACTTTTATAATCTCATTTTCATTACAATGTTGGTACTCTTGCCTTTACAGTTCTGCAGAACCACCATTTCAAAAATGATCAGCTTGGCACGTCCTCTTCATGCTTTAATTTTACATTTGAACTGCAGACACACTCAGAGAACAACATGAATGTAAGGTAGCAGAGCTTTTCTTTTTACCAATACTTTAAGCCCACCTCTCCAAAATGCTGTTATCAGCACCATATTTTCATAACACGACCATTTGCGGATAAAAATAATTCATGTGCATAATGTAAAATTTCCAAGACTCATATTAAGAATTAATAAATGTTTCTTAATTCTCTGAAGTCTCTCACTGTGACAGCTTGTTCAGTACTGAGTTTGGTGAAAGGCAATATCTTTTTTCTCCTCATACAGTACACTGTCCTTAATAACTGTTGTTCTTCCGTAGTGTGATCTCCAAAATCTCACAGTCCATTTTTCTGACTTCCAAAATCAAGGAAATTTGGTGACATTTGACTTAATCAGAATTTGTTATACCAGTCTTGGCAATTTCTGCAGGCAATGGGTTGATGTGATCTTTTCATCCAGGTAGGTTTTTTATTTTTCCGTAAGTGGATTGCAATCATTGGCCAGAAGAAGAACTGATTTCAATGGTTTATGAGGAGTGAATGTGAATCACTGCCACTCCAAATTACCAATGCTCTGATCCATGTAGCAAACCTCAAAATTATGTCACAGCAGCAGCCTGTTTGTCTCAGGACAGCCTATGCAACGGCTGCCTCGTGCCAGAGGACTGCGTTTGTTCACTGTTAGAACTGTCACTACAACCTTTGCTGCCTTCTCTCCAAGGCAGAGGCAAATATCTAGCAGTGCCCGAGCACGGCTGGTCACTGTGGGGTAAGAGATTATTGTTTCATAATCTGTTCGGGACAGCATTTGCTGTGAGCGAAGGGTGTCAAGGATGTGGTTGAGGCGTCCTTCTGTCATGCAGCTCAGGATAATTCCTCTGTGGCTGGCCAGTATTTGACTGCAATTTCCTTTGCAGCAAGGGCCTTGGCGAAAAAGAAAAGCAAACAAGATGTACTAAGTACTCTTTTCTTCCAGAGGGTGTTAGCAAGTGACAGCATCAACACTGATGCATGTAGAAATTTAATCTCAGTTGAGAAAGAAGAAAGGAAGAGTTAGTCTGTGTCCTTTGTTCACAAGTAGTACAATGAATTCCCATCAAAAATCACGAGGATCCTATTCCAGAAAATCAGTGTTTCTAAAGACTGCTTGGATTGTGTAAGGGGAGAATTTCATCCTAGCATTCATTCCTCCTAGCATGAACAAACCTTGTGCAGAGCAGTTTGTCTCTACATCATTGAGAAAATGCTGTCTTGTAGAACATGGAACAACAGTTAACAAGTAGTCCAGAATAGTAAGTCTGTTTGAAATGTGTTGTGAAATCAGGAACATGAATATATATCAAAGCCAAACTAATAGCAAAACTAATATTTTTGGCAAAAGTGATCAAGAGCACTGGGTTCTACCTCTTCACTAACTGATGAGGCTCGTACCTCTCAGAGTATTCAGTGCTGACATTCAGGTTTTAATTGTACAGTTAAGTACTGTAAATCAAGAGAAAACTAATAACCAAAGACCATCGTTACTGTGGAGAATGTGCCTCCCTCATTCTGATTTCAGAGTGCTGACAGTAGAGTTCTGACATGAACTTTTCCTGCACATACTAGTCTACTGCTTTATCCTGAAATTAACTTACTCACTGAGTAGTAAATTGAAATAAATGAGCAACCAGATGCAGGAATTGGCCAATTTGAAACAATCAATCAAGCAAAGCAAGAAACCAAGCTTTTCATCTGCAGGTAGAGACAGGCTTCACAAGTCAGAAGCTTTCCTATGATCAGTTTCCAGCTCAGTAGCAAAATCTGAGACCACGTAAGGAAGGAAATAAGTAGTTATCCTGTTCTCTTCATCACCCTTTTCTACGGTCAGTAGCACTTTTTAGCTGTATGAAATACTCAGCTTAAAACCACAAAAGAAAAAAGATGCCCATACATTAATAAGCAATTAATGATGTGACACAATTTCTGTGTTTTTACTATAATCTTTTCAGGCTCATTCTCAACCTGAATATGATCCAAGGAAAGAACAAGCCAGTGTTCTCAATAGGCAGTGCCTGGTTTTCTGAAAACATGAGGGCCATACAGCAATACTACAGTGACACAGCACTGTCTGAAGAGTTTTTGCACTAGACTACAGTAGACATCATGCCAGATAATTCAGAAAAAGATTATCTATTTCTGTACATCTCTGAACAATGTAACCACTGAATAAGATCTGGTCTGGGAGAATACTGCCCTCTCAAACTGGAAGTGGACTCTTACCAGTCACTGGTTGTTCAGGTTGCACAGTTTGTGGACTGTGGACTGCCCGTGGTGGATCCTTATGCTGACAGTTTTCTCTGCCTGCACTTGGACCAGATAAGAGCAGAGTACAAAAAGGCTTTCTTTTGTCAGAGTGTGGGTAATCTAAAAAAAAAAAAAAGTTTAAAATGAACAAGATGAGACCCTTGCATTGAACAGCAACAGAACATAACGTGTATCATCTGACTAACTTGAGAGCACCTTTTTATTACTAGCTGTTCTTTGGGCAGTTGATAATAGGACACTATTCCTGGGAAGATTTTGGCATATACTATAACATGCTTCTGTGTTTTTCAGGAATTCTATGTGGATTTGTTTCTTAAGTTCCAGAAAATTCTATTCTAAGTCTGGCAGCTATTGATAAGAAGTAAAATTCTTGGGAATGCAGGTGTTATTATAAGTGAATTGATTTTCTGTGGCTCAACTTCTGTTTCCAAAGGAATGAGGAATACTGAAAAAGCACTTCTGCAGTGAGCTCATGCTTTGAATGATACCAGTAGAGAGCAAAGCTCTAAAAAGGGACAACTGCACTTGAAAAATACATGTGTATGTGGAACAAATAGTAGTAATTTTCCTTGGTATAGTTGGAGCTGAACATGTTTGCAGGCAGAGACCTTTCTTTGTTGAGTGCTGTGTGATAGGACCTGTCAGATCAGCCTCAAGAATATTTTTGCTTCCTGCAATATTTGTACTGCTACCAAGTAGAACAGGTGATGAACTTGGTACTACAGGAGGGACTTTCTTGCTCATTACTTGGGTGAGTTTTTGTTGACAGATGACCTGAAAAAAATTAAAATGGAGAATTATCTTGGAAACTTTCTTTCAAAACTGTTTGCAAGCAGTTATTTCTTGGAATTCAAGGCTGTATCACAGTTCTGGGAAGGGTGGGCAGGCAGTTGTTCAGCCTGTAGACAAACTAATTCAACTTCAGCTAGTCGCCCAGGCTGCTGTGGCAGCACAGACCTGTAGGCTAACTGTCCAAGGTGTTATGGCTGTCCTAAATTGATTCTGCAGCTTGTGCTGCCAGCAGCCATGACCATTCACAGAACACAAATTGTCTAGCTAAAGTTCGCTCTTATCCAGGTACATGAGCTTTGGCCCTTTCGGTATTGGCAGGCCTGCAGCAAGTGCCAATATCACTTTGAAAATGGTTGTTAGTGGTATGCTGCAGAGTGATCACAGAGAAGTTATCCTTATTCTTCAAGAAAAGGAGCTGCATATGCTAGAATTCAAGCTTATTTTGGTCTTTGTTCCCAGCTGCCATTTTGAAAACAGCACAAGGAAAACCAGGTTTTTGCCATTTCACTGGGATATCCTCATGAAGGAGAGGTTCAAAGTGGCTTTCAAGTGGAGAGTCTTTCTGCAAAAGCAACAGAGTCTGCTGCTTGTAGGAGGGTAAAACAGGGTTTTGTTGCTTAACCAGTTGTAGATGTCCTTGTTAGGGACAAAATAAAGGGGACATCCTGCCCTACTGTGTTTATATTATGCAGTGTCAGCTCTGGCAGGAGAAGCAAGAAGACTCCTGTAAGATTCTCAAATAAATGCCATGTACTTACCTCTGAGTTCTGTAGGCCTGTCTGCAAAGTGTATACTTCTGAACTTCTGCATGCATTAATTGCTGTCTCCTGGGAAAAAAAAAAAACAGTACAGGAGCACTAGTAAGAATGCAGAATGCTTGCTCAATTACAGCTGTAAGGAGCAAGAACTTACACTGACACTGACAATTTACAAGGATGTCAAGTATGTCATACTGTTGGGCATGCTGATGCAGGATAATAGTGAACTGCATTGAACAACTTGGTAGCAACTTTGCATTTTAGCATGTAAGTGGGTGTAGAACCTGACTTTACTCCATTACTGTTTCTCTCATTTCAATTTTAAGTCTAGTTTTTGGGTTATGCACTAGAAGGGGAGAGCAGCCCTGTACTGAGATACGTATATTGGGCTAGCTATAACATGTCCTTCAAGTATACACACAGCAGGAGCATCCTGTGTTTAGCATACCAAATGATGTCTGCTATAAGGATACGTTGATACTTAAAACTTTTTTCCATTTTGTACATCTGCAGCAGATTGGTTCAACTCATTGCCCTTCAGCACTTATGAATTAATCCATTTTAAATATCTCTGGTAGCTATTTCAGTCATTTTGAACATATTGTCTCTCCAGTTATTTAAACAATAATAATGATTGTTTTTGATTTAGCAAATAGAAAAATAAAACCTTACTCAAAGGGGACTGAAGTGCTAAATTTTTTAGGGATGTATTGCCAAATATTCTATAAGCTTCAGGAGTAATAAAATGACTTGGACCATAACTGTGCCAACCATTAAAGTGTCATGCAAATCTATTTTATAATTGCAGAATATGATTGCAACATATAAAAATAATCTGGTATGCCTTAACTTGGGAGCTCACATAAACACAGCAACAGAACCAACCACACAGAATGGGTTTTGCAAGGTCAAATGGAGTCAGAACACTTGTTCAAGGGCTGAAACATGCCCATGTAGTTTCCTCACTATGTCTATCAAAGTTTGATAGATATAGCTGCATTTATGGCAGTCAGATTTGTGCCAGGTTTCCCGTGGCAATAATGTATATAATATATAATATTATGTATATTTTACATGCATAATGTAACATGTAATATTATATACATTATACATTATGTAATAATATATAATAAATGCAGACATGCATGGAAACAGAGAGATAGCAAGCTGTATTTGATTATAGCTTGTGACCAGAAAGACACTACTGTTCTTGTGACCTCAGGTAGCAACTGATGAGGTTTCTAGAGGGGACCAGACAGAATAGCTCACAGTATGTATTTTCTACAATTCCTGAACGAACTTGAGGTGCCAAAGGGTACTCTCCAGCATGTCCACTAAAGCAATAAGTTCAAAAGCTCTTCTGTTTTGGACTGCAAAGATTGCAATCAAAAAATCAAGTAACAAAACTTAATTTTGCACACACCTTTGCATGCATCAGATTGTAGACTGCGGTGGAAATTTCCTTCTTACTTATACTCATCAAAACCCCATTTAGAAGGTCTGCACTTTCTGTAGGAGGGATAAAGCATTATAGATGTACCATGTTGCATGTATTTAGGCATTGTTGTATGTATTTAGGCATCGATATTTGCAACAAACTTCATTAATTATGCAACTGAATATTAACTTCACTGTTTCGCTGAGCAGCCAAATGAACTAAATTAGATCAGTTTAAATACAGCTTCTACCTCATACAACCTTTGGTTTTCTTTATGAATGTGTTGTTGAAGATCATTCACTCAAAATCAGTGTTTCTTACAGATGTCGATACAGACATGCACTTGCAGAAGGATTACATACAACTTTTGGAAGAATCAATTTGTATACTAGGCTTCAAATATCACTATTTCTTGGCTGTTTTTTGTCTGGTTCATTGTTTGGTTTTGTGTGTGTTTTTTTTAGGATAACCACACCATTGATGTTAGTGAAACTGTTAGCACACCTCGAATGGAACTGCTTATGCAATGGACATAAATGCTTAAGACAGGTCAATCTTTGTTAAAATAATACATGAGCTAATAATAATATACCCTCCTTTAGCTGGCTATTTTTATGTTTTTATTTACTACATTATACTAAACAGTCTTGGTTTCCTACTTTTGTAAAAAGCTGAAAAAAGTCTACAGCACTCTGACGATAATCTGAAGGCTGTTTGCCTTCCACTTCAGTTGGTATGCCATCGATTTAGAGTGCCAGAGAAATCTGCCCAGCAAGACTATCTCCATCACAAACCCTACGAAGAAAGTAAATCCTGAATGCTACCTGCAGCACGCAGCCTGTAATCTCGTTCTTGATGACAGCACACAGCAACAAAGTGGAGCAGTCTGTTCCTCCTGGGCAAATTGCTTGATATAAACTTCTCTGAATTGGCAGGCTGTAAGCTGTTACAGATCCCTGTCAAAGCTCCCAGTGGGGCTGTTTGTCCTGCAGCATGTAGGAAATAAATAAATACCAAATATATGCCAGTAGGCAATAAATACCAAAGATCCTGTGCTCTTAAAACAATATTTAGCATAAGTTATTTCACATGTGTTAAAGCAAAGACTGTTTTTAAGGCAAAAGTAAAAATAAATTTACGCTCTTGTTAGTAGATGCGCTGGTGTTTGAAATGACCATGGCCACCTTTTGCCACAGGCCACTTCTGGACAAAGAGCTCTGTACAAACAATAAGTCAAATTAATACCGCAGATATACGTGTATTTATTATTTCTCAATAATAGATGCAGTTCTAGATAAAGCCTCACAGTGTGTATCAGTGCTAAGAAGAGGTGCAGCCACGAGATGACAGTGGTGAAAGCTGTGTGAATAGCACCCTACTGTTCTACACAGTGTTTTTATTGCACTTCTCAGCCTGCAAAGTGCAGAAGACGTTCAATCAGCTTTGTCATACAGAACTGAGCCAATAGCAACAAAGTATTTCTTTGGTGCCCACCACTATGGATGGGGGATCATTCTTAGACTGTGGCAATTGTTACATCATGCTTTATACAAACTGTGCTCTAACTGTAACAAAAGGCAGAGGCCTGTTTGAACAGGCAATGCTGTTGGTGTTGTCATTTCTCTACAGTAAAAGAATTTGTAGGAAACACCACTGCAATAAAAATCAGATGTGAGCAATAGAAAAATACCTTCAAAGGGTTTCTGTTTGCCTATGCTCTCCCAGCACAATATACCACAACTGAAATTAAAAAAAAAAAATCATATTCATTAGTTCAGAATCAATATTTATGATCATTTTCATTTCAAAGAGCACATTTCTTGATTTAATAAAGGAGTTTTCCTAAGTCTATCCAAATAATTCTTAATCTGAAGAGCTTCTTTCTCTTGCATTATTAAGCTTTGTTTTGAACTGAACAGCTCTTATAAAATAAATCAAGGTAGATAAATCAAGTTAGATGTTATTTCAATAGGATTCATAAGGATTACAAGTTTTTTGTTAACTACAGTTGCTTTTGTGAACTTCAGAGCATTCTGTTCTCCTTTCTCCATCACTTTTGTTTTGTTTTCAACTAACCTAAATAGCAACTGAAAAAGCAAGACATTACATTAGGTACTCACCAGCATATCAGACAGTTAACCTATCAAAACCTTGATTCTGACCCACTGTGTTTCTTTACTTCCAGCAAATTTTGCTGGAGCTCCTAGTATTTTTTTCTTTCCTAATGTCCTAGGAGGTATTCTGGTGATACCGTGATGTATGTGCATAATCTACAACTCAGATGATCTAAAACAGTTATTTGATTAAAAATCCCTCGGTCTCTAGACTAGAGGCAGAAGCAAAGAATCTACCAGAAGGGAGAAAGCAGACTACAGATGAGTTAGAAGCAAAGCAACCTGTAGGGGAAGAAGCAATTCTATGATAAACTCATATCTGAACCACACAGTGTTTTACTCCCTCTTCTGCCAGGTTTCCACATAAAATGTGCTTTTACTTAAATGCTACCTAGGAAAATATTAATGTATGATGGATGTACACGTAGTTTACATGCACCAAAGCATTATTTCACATACAATCCTTTGCTTTCTTTACTGCGCTGCTGTCTAGATACACACCTATCTCATGCACTGAGTTATATCTAAGCATCTAAAATTAAAAACGATTTACAAGTTGGAAATGAATGACAATAAGCCTCCACTCTTGCTGTGCAAATCCAGTCTTTATGAAAATGGCAGACGAGTCGCACTGTTTATAGTTCTCAAGTGTGTTCCCACCTTGGCTCTGCACTGTGCATCCAAAAAGATGTTGGAAGGTTTCAGGCTGCAGTGGCAGACAGCAGGCTGGAGGCTGTGTAGGTAATGCAGCCCTTCAGCTACAACTGACAGGATCCTTATGAGTGACAGAAACGGAAGATCTGGGTACAGTTGATGCTGAGAAACACAAAGTACAGGTTTGTGTACGGTGAAACTGTTACTATTCACACTTTCATTTGACAGTAAACAAAAATACAAGACTGATTCAAATAGCAGACTGACTGCAACTGTGATTATTGTCCGTAATTTACATGCTGGTTGTTCTCTTTTGGGTTAGCTTGTAGTTAGTTTTGTCACAAAAGACCTTACATACCTCATGGATGAGTGAGTGAAGAGATCCACTGATCCTCAATCACCATCCCCAAAGTCCCTGGTAGAGGTAAATCCCAAGAGAAGGCAGGAGATGTTCATACTTACAGCATCTGATATTTGCTGTATCCTGAAGCAGCAACTTCCATTCCCTGTAAAATATAACAGAAGTGAGTGGCAGTTTAGACTGCAGGAAATTTCAGCTAGAGATGGGATCATGGAGGCTGTGGAAATGAGAGAGAACTATGTGGCTGAATACAGGCTAATACAATTCTACCACTAAAACCAGTACTATATCATCTTCCAAACAACCGTAAGAAAATTAAGCAATACCATGTGTTCTTTCACATTTTAACATAACGTGAAAGAACTCTGGATGCATTAATGGGGACGGCAGCAGGGAGAGAGAGGAACCTGTGTCCCTCTCCTCTGCCCTTGTGAGGCCTCATCTGCAGCGCTGCGTCCAGCACAGGAAGGACGTGGAACTCTTGGAGTCCAGAGGAGGGCACTGAGATGGGCAGAGGGCTGGAGCAGCTCTGATGTGACGAAAGGGTGAGGGAGTTGGGTTTGTTTACCTGGGGAAGAGAAGGCTCCAGGAAGACCTCACGTTGGCCTTCTGGTACTGGAAGGGAGCTTATAAGCAAGAAAGAGTCTGACTTGTTACACTGTCTGGCAATGGTAGGACAAGGGGGAATCGCTTTAAACTAACAGAGGGAGATTTAGATTAGATGTTAGAAGGAAGTTCTTTACTCAGAGGGCGGTGAGGCACTGGCATTACTGCTTAGAGAACCCAGGGTGCCCCATCCCTGGAGGTGGTCAGGGCCAGGTGGGGGTGGGGAACTAGGTGGGCTTTAATATCCTTACAACACAAACATTCTGTGATTCCATGATTATATGAATGTAAGAACACCATCTGAAGCAGGATTTGGAATTCAAAGGGAGGAGAAAGATGTGAAATGCTGGATTTTAAAAATCAAGCTTTTCCCCATACTGTCCTCAGAAACTTATAATTGCAATATTCTCAGCTAAGTAGTTTTAACTAGATCGTTGTTGCACATCATTATCTCTGACAAACAGAGTCAGTGCATTCCCTAAAATACCTTCATCTTGCCTCATCAACAGTATCTTAGGGTTATTCTTGGAATCTTTCTGTGCCTCTGTCACCACATGGAATTCTGCAGTGGCTAGGTGGAGCCCAACAGCTACTGTGGTTTGGTTTTGTAACTTGTGCATGTACGCACATCTCCTGCCCTGTAACCCTGACTTATATCCCTCTCTCATCCTATCGCTCTGCTCCTTCCCATGGACTTGCTGGTTTAGACAAGCTTCAACTGAAATCTCTTCAGGGTCCTCCAGAAAAAGTTACACCATACATGGCATGCCGAGTATCACTGGTCAGAGTCTGCAGACATCATTACAGTAGACATAATGACTTCAGGAATAAGCTCAGCTTCTATAAATTTTGAAGAGAAAAAAAAATATGTAGAGTTTGTTTCTCAATATAACTGCCTCCAAGCTGCCTCTTGAGTGGGGATTTCTAGGAAGGAGACGTGTTTAGGGACTGGATGAACCTGAGCACACCATGATTGGTGCTGGTACCATCACTGCATGGTCATTGAGGTACATACTGCTCTGTAGTGTTCTTGCTGGTCAGCAGCTTCACAGAGATGTGAGTGTTCCACGAAATACAAAAGGCTTTCAGTGCAAAACCTGAGCCTGTCCTGGCTGAGGTAAAGCAATCAAACCCTCCTGAGCTATTACAGGCTGACTTGGGGAAAAGAACGACAAAGAAGTTCTTAGGCCTGTTTGTTTTCACTACTGCCAAAGCATAGTGGCATTGTGCCATCTGTTATGCACTGAACAACCCTATCCCAACCCTAAAGCCTTCCCTTCACCACTCAGTGTCAGATCTTCCTTACAAATACAGGAAAATTACACTTAACTGCAGAAGAGTGCTCAGGACATAACTTGCCATCCAGGGTTGTGAGGTGCTAAATAATTGCTTATTGTTTCTACCTGATCATTTGAAATAGATAGTTATTATTAATAATATGTTTTAAAATGATACTGAATTATGTAGACGAAGAATTAGTATCTAACAGTTAAATGCCAGAAAGAAAGAGTGAAAAAATGGGCAATTATTCAATATCTCATCTAACTACAATCAAAATGTAAATAAAAGTACAGCAGCTGGTTGGCCAGCTCAGCTTCAACACTGTTTGATTTTAATGACAGCACAGTTGAACCACTTACTTTTTAAAATTATTGTAATTTGAAAGCAATCACTACCTTAGATATTCCACTTAGACATGACACTGGAAGACACGTTAGTAGTCTCATAAACTTAGAAAAGGTTTCTCTGAATTAATGTAAGTTTCCAGATAAGCCACTTATCCCTTAAATTGCAGAGACAAACCATGCAAATCTACAAACCCTGAGTAAAAATGAGGCAGTCAGAAGGCTGACAGGAAAAAAAAATCTGTCTCATATTGCTCTATAATAAAACAAATAAACTTGTAAATAATCAAAATAATTTACTAAGAACTCCAAACATAGTACAAAGAAGCCTGTACAATGAATATGGGACCTAAATCATTCCAGAATGTTTCTACTTGAAATGGAATCAAGTAAAGCTGTAACAGTTTTTAAGCTACTGCTAATTCACAATTTAGATAAAAAGAAAAGCTATCAGCAGCGCCTGTTTTTTATTTGCAAAATGCAATTTATCTAGTGATTTGTGCAAACAAAATGAAAACCAGTTCAGTCTGTTACAAACCACATCGCATTGAAGAATATTGTTCCTCTCTTTGGATTTGCACATCTGCTTCCACACCTGAACTCAGACTGATTTGGTTTTAGCATCTAAAATGAGAGTTCTGTTATTTATCCAGGCTCTAGTAAGGCTGCTACAATAGTTGGGGGGACTAATGATGTAATATGGTACTGTTAAAGGAAGTTACAGACAACAAAGTCTCACTCTAACTCCCAGGTGATAAGTTCGGTATTTTTTCCAACAGTTCTGCTCTTCTGAACGTTTTTCTTCTTGGACCCAATTCAAATCTCATTATCAAATAACAAAATGTTTTGGTTTTTTTTTTTTTAAATGATTTTTTCCCAAGATTTTTGCATTATTTAAAAACTTTGTCGTCATCTCCTGAGAGGTTAGGGGCAGGAGGGAGATGACTATAAAGCCATTTCATACAATCACCGAGTCATTAAGGCTGGAGAAGACTTCTCACATCCCCAGGTCCAATCTCAGCCCACCCCCACCGTGCCCACGGCCCACGTCGCTCCGTGCCACATCCCCACTGCTCTGGGACACTCCCGGGGACGGTGACTCCCCCCATCCCTGGGCAGCTGTGCCACTGCATCACTGCTCTTTCAGAGAAGTTTTTCCTAATATTTTCTTATTTCCTATATTTATATCAAGTTTCTAACTTTAAAGATAACTCTAAAAAGTAATTTACAGTGAAGACATTTTTCTTAGCATGTGAGGAACTCTTCTAAGTTAAACTAATATTCAAATGCCCAAAAGGAAGAAATTGGAAGCAAACAGCAACTTACCTTTAGAAATACCAGCATAAAGACGACCAGTGTTGTAGTGATACTGCTGCAGATGTGAGCCTGCAGTTGGAGCTTTCCTGTTCATGAGTCAGCAGCATTGTTATCTCGCCTTTCATTGGCTGCCAGCAAACATCTAAAATTTCCTGGTAGGACATAGCACTGTAACTCCTTGGTGACTGCCGATGTGTTTGCTTGGACTGATTTGTTAGCTGTCTGTAATTAATGAGACAGAAAAAAAAGAGGTCAAATTTTTGCTTTTTTTCCCCCCACACTGAGGAACCCCAGAGGGAAAAGAAAGATTATATAGCACTGAAAAATACTGTATTGTACCAGGTCCAATCATAGATGTGTTTGGAGCCAACAATCATCTCTGCAGTCGATCAAAGCGATATCCCAGGTATAGAATCCCCTTAAGCACTGTAAGTCAACGATCTTAAAGCAGGATGGAAACTGCCATTATCTTGTTAGGGGATTGGTAAGCATAGAGGTGATGTTCATTTGCAAAGGAATAAAGGTGAACTGGCTGAAAAACAGCCCTGCTGAAGGAGGTATGGGAGCTACACTGGAAACTACACTGATGATGAGCCAACAGCATGCTTCTCATCATGATGGAGCAAATTGTATACAGGACTATTATTAAAAGTACAGTCATAGGAAGAGAATCCATTGTGCTTCAGTACACAAAAAATGGTTCAAATAAATATGTTGAGAAATCAGAGAGAATGTAGTGGGCAGTACCTAGATTGTCTGTGGCCCAAGAGCACACGAGCATAGAAGAGCAGGTTGAAAGAGCTAGTCTTAGGCAAAGGAGGAGGTTAAGTGGTGGTCTACTGCAAGTCTACAACTACTTGAAGATCGGTTTTGAAGAGTTAAATTCTTCTCCATAGGGGCAGTTTGCCACCAGTGGCAGAGGAAGGTGTTTCTACCTCTGAGGTTTAAACCAGAACAAGCTTTTCCACCAAGTGGGTAATGCAGCACTGGAATGGAGCACTCAGGCCTTAGCATCTCTGTCCTGTAAGATTTTCTGGATTCATCTGGGCAAAGCAACTGCTGATCTGACTGAGCACTGCCAGTACTCCTGCCTTGAGCAGGAGGCTTGGCTAGAAAATGTCAAAGATCCAGAAAACCTCAAGTTTAGTGACAACTTTGTAAGGCCTAATTGTGCTCCTGCTAGGCTTTGATACTGAGAGCTGGGATTGCTAGGCAAGGAGTGGAGACTTTAGGACAAAGCAGACCTTTTGGTTGACCACATTTGGTTGACCACAAACTTGACACTTCATGCAGAGTGCCTTTACATATAGCCCACCTTACAAACAGCTTCACTGGAGACCACCTGTGGATTTGGGCCAAACTTTCACCCCCAAGCAGAGAAGGGAAAAATCATTAACAATTACCTAATCCTCCTATGATGCTGGGAAAGTCCCTTTTATCTAAAATCATGTGGCTAGCACTCTGGGGCTTGAGAGGAAGCACACTGTGAGTGGGAAGTGTGAGCGTGCTTTCAAGCACAGCGAGTTATTTCCTGAAAGCTGAAGCTGTCCAAACAGCACCAACTTTCTCTGTTCAGCACACCCTTCTGAAAGTGAAATTAATACAAGGGAGAGAGACACAGGTGAACAGGCAAAAAAGGTCCTGTAGAAGGTGGAAAATGCAGCGAGTTGCTTCAGACACAGGACCCACTTTCTCCTTCACTTCAATATTATCAACAATATCTTCATTGTGTCATTTACACTTTTATCAGGCACTCATTAATAATGTTTTCCCTTATTAAGGGTACTAGCTTGTCAGGCCCACACTCTACTATTGCAGAATCACTGCTGGTAAAAGTCCTTACAATTAATTAAAGAAACTTCTCAGGGAAAGTTTTACATAGAATTCAAAGGACTTAATTTAAAACAAGTTATTTAACACAAGCAGTCTGAGTTACTTCTGTATTCTTAGAATGTCACATGCTGGGGAAGTAGAGTGCTGGAACAGTTCCATGTTGGATTACTTCTCACCAGTATTGTTTTCAGTTTAAAAAAATACCAACTCTAAAACAAAACTTTTATCCATATTTGGAGAAACCAGAAACAGATAGGACAATCTCTAGTGCAGATGTGTATTAATTAAACATTTCTTGCTACTACTGAACATGTTAATTGATAAGGAAATTTACTACTGTTTTACCTACACTTAATTTAGCCAGGGAAATTTAAAGTCTCTCACATATTCTGGAAATTTATAAATACTGGGCAAGGAACACATCCTATTCAGTATTTAGAGAAAAAAATTGAAAAAAAATCAGTTTGACTGTGAGAAGTAGGTTGTTTTGTTGTTGTTGTTGCTGTTGTATTTTGTTTTGAATTGGGTAAAATGCCCAAAATAAAGCCCTCCAGCAAGGATTAATTGATATGATAGACCTAATGACTATGCACTGGTATCAAGGACAGGGAAAGATAGCGAGATCCTGAACCATATGCAGGAGGGAACAAGAATGAACAAGGAGGTAATCTGGAGAGCAATAACATGATTGCAGGATTCCATATTCACTGAGTGAATGCAATCATTACATGAGTGGAAATGCACATAGAATCTGACTAACTGCAAGAATTAAGTTCAGTATTTCAACTATTGGTCATATTTTTCAATTTGTTCATATTGAAATGCAGAAACAGAAGTTTTGAGATTTCAAGCAGCAGATGGTGAAAAAAACTTATAAGCTATTCAAAGTGCCCAAAGAATATATTTTAAAACCTATTCATAGCAGTGCACAAAAGAACAGAGCACCTGCTTCTTCCGTCTGAACTCGGCTTTGTGGTTCACTTGCAAGCTAAAACAATGTAAAAAAATGCAAACACATTTGGTCTTAACCAAAAAATGTCTGGAACCCCCAATACAGGAAAGACAGGGAGCTGTTAGAGACAGTCCAGAGAAGGCCACAAAGATGATCAGAGTGCTGCAGCACCTCCACTATGAAGACAGGCTGAGGGAGCTGGGCTTGTTCAGCCTGGAGAGAAGAAGGCTGCGGGGTGACCTCATTGCAGCCTTCAGTACCTAAAGGGAGCCTACAAACAGGAGGGGAGGCAACTCTGTGAAAGGGGAGATGACAGCAGGACAAGGGGAAATGGTTTGAAGTTGAGGGAGGGAAGATTTTGGCTGGATATCAGGGGGAAGTTCTTTAGTATGAGAGTGGTGAGGTCCTGGAACAGCTGCCCAGAGAGGCTGTGATGCCCCGTCCATCCCTGGAGGTGTTCAAGGCCAGATTGGATGGGGCCCTGGGCAGCCTGGTGTAGCATTAAGCGTGGAGGTTGGTGGCCCTGCATGTGGCAGGGGGTTGGAGATTCGTGATCCTCGAGGTCCCTCCCAACCCGGGCCATTCCATGATTCCATGATTAACATCCGGAAAGTAGGAATAATTATGATATCAAAAGAGTACTGTGGTTTAGGGCACACCTAATAATCAGAATGAATCTAGCTGCATTTAAATGTAAAATAAAATGGGAGCTTTAATAGTAGCAGCATTGAAGGAGGGCCACAGCATAAGACAAAGTATTAATAGAGCAAGGATGCACAACAGAAGAATGAGACAGCATCAGGAGGCTGAAGCATTCAGATGACCCAAATACCAAGGGCTCTGATGCATATTCAGTGAATTCTGGACTCAGTGGATGGCAGAGTTCCCATCATTTCTCAATCTGGTTATGCCAGTTCTGTACAGAATAATTTTTGGAAATGTAGGTTCTGAGGTGCCATTTTTTTTGCTCCTTGTGTGTTCAAGAACTCTTGTGAGACATGAGTACTTACACGTTTGTTATGGTTCAGGTTGGTAGGATTCAAGTGTTCATTATTTCACCTTCACAAAACTACGCTGGAGTGCCCGTGTATAGCCAATGATGATATAACTGTCTGGGTCTGTTCAGCCTTGAGAAAAGAAGACTGAGAGGGGACCTGATCCAGGTCTATAAATATCTAAGGTGTGGGGGGCAGAATGGCGAGGCCAGACTGTTTTCAGTGGTGAGTGGAGACAGGACAAGGGGAAATGGCCAGAAACTGCAGCATAGGAAGTTCCGCACAAACACGTGTAAGAACTTCTTTACAGTGAGGGTGACGGAGCACTGGAACAGGCTGCCCAGGGAGGTGGTGGAGTCTCCTTCTCTGGAGATGTTCAAGACCTGCCTGGATGCCTACCTGTGCGACCTGCTGTAGGGAACCTGCTTTGGCAGGGGGGTTGGACTCGATGATCTCTGGAGGTCCCTTCCAACCCCTACAATTCTGTGATTCTGTGATTCTGTGATTCTGTGATAACTGGTTGCTTCAGAAAATAACTCCAATCAGGCACATAACTTGCTCTTTCTAAGGTGATACATCAAGACACAACATCATGCTATCCATGCCATGAATTTACGGATAAACTACAGCTTCCCATTTCTTTTATTCTTTTGTTTAAAGACAATTATTTCTTCAAACATTCATGCCATGCTGTTTTGGAAAACAGCCATGAGCTCAATCTGTCATTATGGAAATGACTAAACAAAAGTATCACAACTACTGGCTGCAGGTAGGTTCTATGAAATTAACAGTGACAGCAGCTCTGCTGATTAAGGGCACCACATAAATTTATTAATGCTTTTCAGCACCTTTTTTTTTTTAATAGTGGAATCTTAAACAAGTACCATAAAATGTATAGTTCCTGTAATTGTGAACAACAGAGTATTAAGAGCTTTGTGGAAGGGCACACTAGTCCACATCCCAAGAGTTTATGATTGGTTTTGGATCATGACATAGTATGCACTATTAAAACAGGGTGGAGAAACACTAAAGCTCCAGATTAACTACATACCTAAAGAGTTCCACTAAGGCTCATGGCGAAATGACAGAGGCCTGGATGGGTGACCTTCCTGTCAACATGTAACACAGGGATATAGGACAATGTGAGCAGACTTTCACAGCCTTTGTGAATACAAAGCAAAATGCAGGATCTTCAATTTGCTTGACGCTGAGCGTTGTGTTTTTCTACTTCACAATGCTGAACCATGAAAATGTAAGCAAAGAAATCAAGCAAGGAATTTTAAAAAATTCAAGATCTTCAGTATCAACATTTTTATACCAATGTAAGGCCAAATTAAGTTTCAAATCAGTGAGACTATGGTCCCAAATTAAGAAAGAATTCTGCATTTTCTTGTTCACTGGAAGATTAGAATACTGCTCTAGATGCCATCTGCCTTTAGTAAACGGGGAGGGGGGGAGGGGAGGTTGGTGTTCAAGTGAGGATTTTCAGTCAGCAGCCCTAAAAAAATGGGTGGAGCCCATAAACTATTCCTACAGAAACCTATAGCACATGAGGGATGAGGCAACAGGATGAGGCCTCTGCATTTTTACTGACCGCTGTATCATCTTAGTCACTTTGTGGCCCTTCTTCCTAATTTATTCTTCCCAGTTCTCCTTCTATGGAGATCAGCACACAATCTTTGAGTATGAACACCAGATCTAGCTGGAAGACCATATTTTATCCCTGTTCTTTCACCTTTTTCTTTTGCAGTCATCCTTCACTTACTCCTCTCCATTCCCCTATTTCAGTCATAATCCTACACTTCTTCCACCTGTTTCTTTTTATATCATCCTGTCTTCAAATTAATGTATCCCATCACCTCCTCATCCCCTCATCCCATTCTTCAAGCATTAAATGGGTCTTTGTGTGAAGCTCAGCAGTAACAAATATTTGTCAGTAGGTCAGGCTTTTCTTTCCTACATCATTCTCCTTTTACTCAGTGAAGGCATTATGACTATGTTACTTTTTCTGGAGATGCACTGGCTTTCATTTACAGTTTTTCACTGTGGAACTTTACTTTTTCCCCTGCAAATCTTCAGCAACAGATACTTTAAAAGCATCTGAAAGATGCAAATTGCTGTTGACTTCCTTTTAAATGTTTATATGATCAAGTCTACCTGTAGTCCTCTTGCACTTAGTGACATGAAAAAAGAACTGCAAATTGCTCCAGTAAACGTCAATGGACTTCCAGTTCTCTCCTTATGGTGAAACTGCTTTGCTGAAACCAACCTTATTGAGTTCATATTCTTTGAATTTGGTCATTAGCACACCAAACTGGAATCAAGTCCAACACTCCAGGAGATGAGTGCTTCCTTTTCTTTCGTGGAAATCAGCCAAATAACACAAAGTATAAAAAAAAAAAGAATTTACCTTTATTTCTCAACAGTCTTAACTCAAGTGTCACTGCCCTGTGTAGTTCAAAGAAGCCTCAATCAACATACAACATTTTTAATTGGGCTAGAATCCATAAGTCATGTAAGCAGTGTGAAGAGAGAGCACCTAAAGAGAAAACAGCGCTTTTGTGAGTCTACTTACGAAACTTTGATCCTTTCAAAGTTATTAATGAAAACATTAGCTCTTGCAGTTTTCACAGATCCTGCAGTAATCAGGAGGTGAAGTATGAGATTTAGCTTTCATTCTGTTGCTGCCAAATCAAAACCCTTTGTAAATACGTTCATTAGAAACCCAGGAGTTTGTAAGAAAGCCAAGCATTACCTGTAGGAGACTCTCAACAAAAATATCTGGTCATCCAGGTGGAAGTGGCATCTGAAAATGAATGATTAAAATACACATTTAAAAACATCTCCCCTAAACAGGTCTCCTGAAGAACTGCTTGACTGGCAAATCTGGTAGCACTATGCAGTGACATTCTTTGAAGTTAAGATATGTGGAAAAGGTGCTGTTTTACAAGTTGCTTAAACCAAGTAAAAACTGGCAGATTGTGTAAGCACAACTTACTCTTGTTAGGGAAGACCTTTCTGCAAAATAACAGAAAACATAGTTGTAAGAACAGAAATGAACTACTAAAGAGTTTCAACCATATCATTACAAGCACTGACCTCTTGAAAAAAAGATGAGAAATCTTCACTAAAAAGAATGAACTGCAGGATCCTGTTGGTGGGTTGTCTGCTGTTGTTTGTTTGCTTGTTTTTTTTCTCACTTTTTATGCTGCGACTGCCATTATTAAGCTGCTGTGTATGTTAAGTGTTGAGCATTTGCTACAGTCTGGTGGATCTTATTATATAAATGAGGGACTCGGGGTGAGTCTGGTTAGCTACCTACACATTCAGATAAGAAAGTCATTGAAAATGAAATCTATCTCAAGAAGCATAAAGGAGAGCCCATTTGAGATTATCTTCTCCAAAAAAGTTTATCATACCTATAATATTCAAATCGAGTACTGAGAAAAATATTACTGCCTGAATTGTTTGCTTTTTTGCTTAGTCTGCTTGTTTCCAGAGATCTGCCTGTTGTCACTTCCTGATTAAGAAGTGACACACACAGCAATTTAATAAAAATAATGAGGGGGAAAAAAAAGGGTATACTCACGGTTGAGCAACCAAGTTCTTATATAAGAACATATATAAGAATATCTTTGCCTTCTAACTGGGGATTTCCAAAGTTTGCTCAGGCTGGTATACATGCACTTGCATCAGTAGTAGCTGGCTTTCTTCCTACCAAAAAGACCACGCTCAAATACCATATGATATAATAAATACTATACATTGTTGTGAACATACATATTTATATAGTTTATTTATATAGCATCTTCATGTCTACGTAGTACAACTTTGTAAGGATATAGGGTTATCTAGAACAGAAATACATTCCTTTGAGTGCCTGTTCTCTCCAGGCTGCAGAGTCAGATGCAGAGAGCCAGCAAAGAAATTTTCAGCTAAACTTTAACTTGGTCAGATTGAAAATATATACATTTTAAATTACATATAATACCTACTGTCATGAAACATATTGAAGAGATAAAATGGGCCTGTCAGCCTGTTGTCTCTAATGCTAATGCTCAAAGTTTCTTCTCCTTCTTTTTTTTTTTTTTGGTGAACCTCCCAGAAAAACAAATTATGACACACTGGTGGAAAATTTTTCTGTTATTTTTTTTCTCCTTGCACAGAGAATGCTTCACAGACGCTGCAAGTTTCATGTCTGTGATGTCCTTCTAGTGGAAACAGTCTTAATTTATTTAGAGGAACTTTTTCACCAAGTGAAAAGCTGTGGGGGAAGCATCTGAAGAAGACTGGCTTCTCTAAATGGTTTCTAGCAGGCTTCATATGAGTCTTCCTAAACTAGGAGTTAATGCACTGCAATCTGCTAAGACTCAGAGATACAGGCTTTGCTCTTGTGCAGCAGTAACTTCAGTCATCAGGGGATAACTACAGTCTGAATTGACACGAGCATGGTGCTCAGACAACACTGCAGGTGGCTGACTATGAAAGCTGTCCTCAGGGCTCTTGGTAGACAGAGGAGCATCCAGGAAGCTCCCTTTGTAGCTTCTGGGAATGAAAAGAATCATAGAATCATAGAATCATAGAATCACAAGGTTGGAAACAACCTGCAAGATCATCTAGTCCAACCACCCTCCCATTCCCAGTACCACAAGCTACTAAACCATATTTCATGGCTCCAAAAGCTTGACTTATCTTTAAATAAAATAAATTCATAGTGCTATATTCACAAGAATCATGGAGTCAGAGAATCCTTAAGGTTTGAAAGACCACTAAGATCATTGAGTCCACCCATCAACCCATGGCTGGGACAGCTCTTGACCATGTTCCTCAGCATGTCTACTCTTTTCTTGAAAACCTCCATGGACAGATGATTTATTTTGCTTTCTTGCACCCCAGTGTAATTTCATTATGTCCAGCACACCACATTACCACTACTTCCTCCTCTTATCCTTTCAATGTTGTGGAAAGTGTGGCTAAATCATTTTCCTGCTGTTTCATCATTGGGATTTTCTGGTAAATTGTTGTAGGCAGGCTTGCAAAATATCCACTTTCATTTTGAGAATCTGGAACCTATTTTTTAGATTCAACTAAAAGCAAAAACTGTCCCTTTCAGCATTAATTAAAAACATGCACTGTAGCATAATCATTCTTCCTTTTTATACACTTTCTTTAAAAGATTAAACTCAAGAGGCTTGCCAGTAATGCATACATACAACAGAAAACAAGGAATATCACTGATTAAAGAAATAGAGCGGAGGGCTGACGGTTTGTTTCCAGCCCTAACAGACAATTTGCACGTTGAGAACATCTTCTCCTTTGCTGAGCTATGCTGTGTGGTTATTATTTTCTCTTTCTGCAAGTTTGGTCCCTCTTTCCTTGTGCTACCTCATTTCTTCAAAAAGTTGTAAAATCCCATCTGGAGCACTGTGTCCGGGCCTGGGGCATCATGCACTGGAAAGAAGAGCTCTTGGAACAGGATCAGAGATGATCTGAGGGCTGGAGTGCCTCTCCTATGCAGAAAAAGTGAAGGATTTGGGTTTGCTTAGCTTGGGGAAGAGAAGGCTCTGGGAAGAGCTCACAGCAGCCTTCCAGTACCTGTGGGGAGCTTATAAGCAGGAAAGGAACTGACTGCTTAGCTGTTCTCATAGTGATAGGATAAGGGCTTTAAACTAAAGGAGGGGAAAATCAACTTTGATGTTAAGAAGAAATTATTTCCTCAGACGGTGGTGAGGCCCTGACAGCCAGCCAGAGAGCTGCGGGTGCCTCATCCATGGGAGTGTTCAAGGCCAGGCTGGATGGGGCCCTGGGCAGCCTGCGCTGGGGGGCACCTGTTGGTTGGGTGATCTGTAGGATCCCTTCCAACCCAATCCATTCTAAGAGTGAAATTTCACCAAAACTTTCTGATGAGCAGCTCGAGAACTCACTAGGAATTGCAAACAATTATATCTAACCAGATGTGTGTTAGTTTCACCAAAAAAAAAAGTTTTTTAAAAAAAGTCAAATATTAAATATTCCACTAGTTTGGTGTTTGTGGTTTTGGGTGTTTTTTTTTTTTTAAAGTTTTTAAGTTTTAGTAAAAAACAAATAGTAAAAAAAAAAAAAAAAGTGTTGTTCCTTATATTAACTCTATTACATATTTTCTATGCTGGCTAAGACAATTCCTCTTCACTCTCTGCAGGCCAGGCAAGCCAGAAAGTTGGGCACCCATGGGTTAGGGAGTTTCTGTAGCAGTGCTGAACAAACTGGTGTAAGGTGAAATGATACAAAGAAATACAAGAGTTTGAGTTAAAAAGTGCTAGCAAAACCAGTGTAATAATGGTGATATTTGCAGGAGAACAGGAGCAGGAGCTTCACTGGCCCATGTGAAACTAATTTAGAAGAAAACTTTCAGGAATGCTCAGTGAATGTACGTATTTATGGTACAGAGTACATGTTTGCTTGGTATTGATAAGTTAATCTATTTATCCCACATTCTGGGATATTTTTACACTTAGCTTTGAAGACCATTGCAAATATTGGTGCTAAGTTGGCACAAGTACAAAGCATTCTAAAAGGATTTGGATTATATTGCTTGGCTCAAAGGTGAAATATTTTGCAGGCATTGAATAAAGGGCTGTTATATTGTTAAAACTGTAAGAGCAGTTGAGCATGAACAATGGAAACAGTATGGGGCCATTATACAATATGGGGGTGTAGTTTGGAGTGTAGAATAGACATGGAATATTGTAATGAATTTCTAGAATTAATTGTAATAACCACTCCTTGTACCATAAATATGCACGTATTCCCTCTACAATAGAGATGTTTACCTGCCTTCGGTATGCAGGCTAGGAAGCAGTTATCCTCCCTTGGTCAGCCAAATAAACACACCTGCTCTACAACTACCTCGTGGTTATGGAGTCTGTTCCGCAAGTCAGCATCAGGTGTTCTGTAAAACTTGCAGAAATCTGTGGAACCAGAACGGCCGTGGTATTTGCGCCAGGATATGGAGAACAAAACAGGATGTAACTGCAAATGAATCGGACATAAACTTTGAGTGAAGCCACAGGAAGTCATGGAGAAGATTCAGCTAAGAAAGAAACAGAATATACTGTCAGTAAACATTTTGATGGGAAATATTTATTTCTGAGAAAATTAACTTAATTCTTTGAGATTGCAAGTTAGGGGACAGCTGCACAGATGTAACAGTTAAGTTTTAGAGCGCCATGACATTTCAAAAGTAACAAAATATGTTTACAAAGGTAAATGTATTTTACTAACATTAAGCAGAGATGAAGTTGATGAGGCTTTTTATGGGAAAATAAAGTGGAGTTTCTCACACTCTTCTCAAGAGAACGTCATTTTACATTCTTAAAAAAAAAAAAACCCTTTTCAAAATTTCCTGATCAACATGAATATGTGAGGATCACAGTGTTGGAAATATCCGAAGAATCTGTCAGGACGGTATCTATGATAAAAGCAGGTTTTATTCGCGATTGCGACGGCGGGCGTCCCGCGAGCAGGAGCATCGCTAAGGACGCAGTGACAGCTTTTGAACCTTGTTTCCCCTTTTGCCTGCTCCCCCTCCCCCGTCTCCCCATTGGCTGGGTACTCCAGGTTCACAATCTTACCACGGTCTACATCTGTTAATTGCTGTGTCACCTGGTGTCAGCCAGCAGCCATCCTGTTGTTTCCAAGATGTCTCAGTGCTCTTCCTGTCGCATTGATATGGTGATTTTCTTCAAAGTCTTCCTTAAACAAAGAGCACCGGGGGGAGAGGAGGGTGCCTTCTTAGTGTCTCTTCAGGCGCTTCCCTGGGGATCTCACCACTTATTCTCAGATGTGATCAACCTCGTGCAGGATATTCTTGCACTGTGTATGACAAAATATTACATATATACTGAGCGTGCATTCCTGGGGAAGGTTCATCTAGAGGATAAGTGATGCAAACTGTCAGAGACCCCCTCCAAGTAAAGTAGACTCCCAGAAAGAACTATGGCAGCGGAGGCCATGAAATAAAAAATTCTTATCTTATTGTAATGCAGAAACACCATTTGATTCCCACAATAGCAATAGTTACATTTTAGAGGTCTGAGCCCTCCAGATTAATAAATCCTTCTCTACAATGCTTCTGTGAGGGACCCATAGCTGCAGTGTTAATGCACAGCTGGTTTCTGTGTCCCACTGACACGACCAGCTAACAAGCGTGCTACATTTGTTTGCTGTTCCTGCAAAGACTGAAGTTCAACTTCAGAGCGCTTATTAAAATTACTTATTTACTAAGAAATGTTTTTACTTCTGCTATTACCAGCTGAATTGAAGTCCCTGGCAGTGGCAAACAAGTAATAACTTAGAATCATAGATGTGTTCAGCTGTCAATTGACACACCAAAATTTTTTCCTCTGCAGCCACATTGCTCCAAAACCGCAGTGATGTTTAGGATTTTTGTGACCGAAATGCAGGACTCAGCAGTTGATCTTGCCGAAGTTCATCCAGTTGGCCTCAGCCCAGCAATCCAGCCAGTCCTGATCCCTCTGTAGGGCTTCCTACCCCCAGGCAGATGCACACTTGCCCAGCTTGCTGTTGTCGGCAAACATAGCGGGAGTGCGCTCAATTCCCCCATCCAAATCATCAGTAAAGATACTGAACAGTTCCAGATCCAGTACTGATGCCTGAGGAGCACCACTTGCGACTGGCTCCCACCCAGCTGTAACCCCATTCACCACCACTCTCGGGACCCGGCCCCCCCGCCAGTTTTCTACCCAGCGAAGAGCGCACTCGTCCAAGCTTCTGCAGGAGAACGCTGTGGGAAGCAATCCAGGGCTTCGCTTAAGTCCATACAGACTACTCCACAGCCTGTCCCGTCCCCTGCTCGCAAAGGAGACGAGGTTGCTCAGGCAGGACAGCCTTTCACGAGCCCACGCTGGCCGGTCCCGGTCCCCCGACTGTGGATCGCAGTGGCGGCCGTCAGCTCCGCGCCCTTCCCGCCGCCGCCCTCACGGCGGACGGAGCGCAGATCCGCAGCTCGGCGGCGCTGCTCCACCGCGCGGCGGCAGCGCGGGACCGCGGAGCTGCGCTCCTGCGCCGTGCGGCGGCGACCCGAGAGCTGGGGTGTGCGGCGCCGGTCCCCGCGGAGAGAGGCGAGTCAAAGGTGGGAAGAAGGGGGAAGGACGGACGTTTTTACAAGTTGGCGCGGAGAACGAGCGGCTGCCAGGTGCAGTAAGAGCGCACGGCCCGTGCGCTCGCAGATGGTCAGGTGCATCCAGGAGCCGAAAATAAGAGACTCGGTTTTTTCCCTTGTCACGTGGATGGCGCGGAGGAAGCCGTGCAGGCGTTTACTGCCGGTGGGCGTTCGGCTCGTCGGCCCCGGGCCGGGAGTCGTGGCCTCGAGGGCAAAATCACGCGTTCTTCTAGCCTTAGCTCTTGTGCCGTTGCTCCCGCTGTGACTGCAGGTACATCACGCGGCGGCGTGGCCTCGGCTTCCCCCACGGTGTTGTTATGAGGGTGGTTCGAGTTGTAGATATTCGCGCCAGAAAACACTTCTGTGCCTGGAAACCCCTCTGTTAGTATAAGGGGGAGTGCTCTCATCCTAAAGCAAACATACTTACGTTTGAGAGATTTGTTTTGAGTATACTGCAAGAATATTAACAGCGAGTTTAACTTAGCAGAACACAAAACACCATTAGCTGTGCAGTAGAGCTCGCTGTCATTATTGGGATAAATGTTGCCCAGTGCTTGGTAGGTCTCAACAAAACAATTTCTCATTCACAAGAATTAATGGGATTTCAAGCAAGTAAACATTTTCCTGATTTTTTTTTTGTTTCTTGTAAGTGGAGAAAAAGCAGCTGATGGACTGTATATATACACACACACAGATTGTACTCCAAGCAGCTGCAGAACCCTGCAAAAAAATTGGTCTCGACAGTGTCACTGAAACTCACAGAGATATGAGTTTCATGGAGCTTTTTCACATTGTCTTTCACTCTTAACACCCAGAGTTGACCAGAACTGATTTTACAGAGAAGTCAGCCCATGTTTGTGTGTTTCATTGGAAACAGGGCACTTCAGCTCCCAGTTCCAAGCTGCAAATCCTCAAACCTGTAAACAGAGATGCTGTGAATTTGCCACCCAGTTACTCCCTCCACGTTACACCTTTTCAGGGTGCTTACCCATTCGACAGCATCAGTCACCTTACAGAGCTCTGCAACACTTCAGCACCATTCTGAAGTGAGGTGACACAGAACAAGTCCAAGATGTGGGGTCACGTGGTGATACAGATGCAATAACATGAGGCATCTGAAAGTTTTCCAGGACGTTTTTTTTAAGATGAGGAATAATTTCACCCATTGCAGACTGGTGAACAATGAAGAAATGAGGCATTCTGTTTGGACTCCTTTTTTTTTTTTTTTTTTCTTTTCCTTATTTAAATAGATTTATTAGTAACTTCAGATTCAAGTCTGTAAATGAGTATTTTTATTTCATCCTTTAAAAAAAAGAGTGACTCCTTTGTGCTTTGGTAATTTTGGAGTATTATCAGGGTTATTAATCAGTTTAGTCCTGGTTTTAGAAATGTGGTGATCTTCCTCTATAGAAAAGTGCAACAAATGACCTTTATCCATTAGAAGGAACAATAACAAAAGCACAGAACCAGATCTTTCTGTTCCCAGGCATAATCATGTAAGAACAATGATAAAGGGGTAAGCAGTGAAAAAGAACAGGGTGATTCTGATTTTGCATTGAGGTCAGTCAAGACGCATAGACCTAGGAGAGAGAGCAGGGTAGGGAGCAATGCAAGACTCCAGCGACCTGAAAAAAAAACAAAAGCAGAACATGGGTGCAAATAGAAGAGGTTTGGTACCCTCTTTTATTCTTAGAAAATGTGAAAAGGATTTCAAAACAGTTTTGCAATGGATACTGGGAGTAAATCTCTCATCATTCCAGATCCTGCTGAATTCACTGCCAGCTGAACATTTTTAAACAGGATTGACGATTAATTCTATCAATAATAACTTTATACATGAAGCTAGTACAACTCTTTCCTGGAAAGATTTTAGCTTGTAGATTTTTTGCATATTATCATCACACATCAGTGTTGGCTTGAGGAAAAAAATCCTAGAGTTAATAAATAAAACCAAGCTGTCCCGTGAAAACACAAGCACTCCTTATATGCTAGAGGGGTTTTGGCATTGGTCGCTGGCGTTAAAAGTCCTTTATGCTGTTCCATTGTAGTCTATTCTGTTCCTAATTATTTAAGAAACTAAGCACCTTAGATAAACTCCCATCTGATGCTATAAGAAGAGAGTTGTGGAATGCTTTATGTAACTGTCTCTCAGTTACAAAGCAAACCTCTAACGGCACAGGCTGGAGAGCAGTGCTAATGGAGTGAGGTTTAGTCAAGAATGGAAAAAACTGCAAAAACCTGACAGTGTTTTCAAGTACGTTACATCAGATATGTGCTGCGATCATGGTTTCTGTCAGCCAGGAGAGTCTGGAGCAGATTAAGTGTTCAGCTGTCTGCTGCACTGACAAAGCAGACCTATGGGGAGATGAGATTTTGGGAAGCATCCAAGTGGTTTATGTGCTTTTTGGATGCTTTACACGGAAACATTGCATGTAGGAATAACTTGAGCTGTAAAAGAAGATCAGTGCTTTTTTTTTATTTTTAATAAAGCATTGTTTTAATGTTTTAGTTACTGCTTAAGTGAGGCAAAGAATGTGAGCCATTTCCTCAGTCAGTAGTTGTCCTTGCCAAAGTCTGCAATGAACACTAAGCCAAGAGTGGTACTTCGTCCTTAAGATTTCCAACTATGCTGACACACTGTTTTGAAACCTCCTGCTCCAGTTGTCCATTCTCCTGCTAATTCCCCTCGGTGCCTCTCTAGAAGCTCTTCCAAAGCCTTTCTCTGGATTTCTGTATGTGGGAAGCCCAAATGTCTCTATTTTCTGCTGCGTTTTTTTGCTTTGATTCATATACAGAATTATCTACCATCATTTGATGAGGAATAACAAGTTTTTACTTTGGTCTTCTATCCAGATGAGAGCCAGGCTAAAGCATATTTGTGGGCAATTTAGTATTGTGTTCAATTGTGTTCAGTTGAGAGACTGGGCAGAATAGTTGAGGTCTAAAGGGACTGCGCTATTGATGCCAGTGTCACCAAGGTAAAGGACGGCACCTCAACTGCAAGTCTGAGAAATTCAGAGAAGCAAGTTTGCTTTTAAAAGTAGCAATACAGTCAGAGCAGAATCAGTAGAACATATCTGATCCTCGTTACTTGATCTTGGCACCACATTCTCCTCCCAGGCCCCTGAAGTAGGTTTTAGAGCAATAGTTTGAAAGTTGATCCATCCCCATGGTCCAGGACACATCAGTAGGTACAGACAGACAGTAGATACAGGAAAACTGATCAGTAAATCTGAGTGTTTCTGAGTACATCCTGTTTTCAGAAATCCCATGGCAGGGTCTCCAAAGCCTTCTAAGGCAGTTTGTTCCAGGCCATCCATTACATGGATTCACTCTGCTGTGAAAGTTTTCCCAAGCGCCCTGCTTACAGCTCTGCAGTGATGTTACAGCACTGCATCCTGTGCAGAGCTCTGCAGCAGCCTTTTATGTTTTTAAATTCACTGTCACGCCTAAGTGTCTTCCTTTCTGGAATGAACAATCTCAATTCTTCCAATCTTTGTGTGGATCACAAAGTTCAGTTTCTCTTCCACAGTTAGCGTTATTTTCTGTATATTAATCACCTAGAAACAGTGTGTGGGTTGGTTTTGGAGTTGGGAATGAATCACTGTTTGATTCCTTTTCTGGTTTCTGGATAGATTTTGAACAGGATCTGAGGGCAACTTACAGAAACCATAAGAAATTGTGGTGCAGAGATCTTGGAGTGAAGCTGGATACGTCATGATATTTTCAACACGCAGTAATTATACTGTGACTATGCAACTCAGTGATGTTATTTAGCACAGAATTTACCACAGAATTGACCTTTTTATTCCCGCTGGGGATTTGTGGTGTTTTGCTTTGAAAACAACATATACTCAAATCTTTTTGGTATCCTGTGCATATCATATCAGGTGGAAAAAGTCTATACTGTCATTGAGGTTAAGCTCAAAAGTGTATTTAACATGCTAAATCCGTGCCCTGAGCTAGAACTAGCAGTAAGATTAGAGGGAATGGCCTCAGGTTGCATCAGGGCTCAGGTTGGGTATTGTTCTCCAATTTCTTCTCCAGAAGGCACTGGAATGGGCTGCACAGGGCAGTGGTAGAGTCACAAGTCACTTGCACAGATGAGATTTTGCTTTTGTAAATGGGAGTCAGATGTTTAGCAATGTGAGGGACTTAGAAGAATGTAAGTCATGAGAGGGCTGTCAGTCATAGCTGGGGGAGTAGAAGCAGATCTGGACCAGGGTGCCAGAAAAATTTTGCACAAAGGGGATTTGTTATTCAGACTGCTCCAAGGGTATGTAGTTTTGGAATAACTTGGAACAAGAAAACTACATATTTTTTTTTTCTTCCTTCCTCCCACCCTCCTGCCTCCAGTTATCTAACACTGGCTTGGGAAGACAGACTTAAATTACCTTTTTCATTCTCTAAATTTCTGCAGAAAATTTTTTCTCCTCTTTCACTACTTCCACATAATTACGTTGTCATTATGTCTTCAGTGCAATTCTGCAGTACTTGTATTTGGACATTGGTCCTTGAAAACAATGAGGATGTTGACTGTTTAGACCAGCACACTAATCTGGGTATATTTTAGATTCCAGTACAGTAAATATTTATTAGACAGTAAGTAAAATTCCTAAATAAATGAATGTTTGGCTAAGAGAAAAAAAGAGGAACCAATCTGAGCAGAGACAGGAATTTCAGTTGAAGTTATTTGTTTGCAATCTGTGGGAAAACAGCTTTTTCACATGATGGATTCTATGTTTCCAAGTATCCTTGCGTGATCACTTAATGAACTGTCTTCTTTGGAATGAATGGAAGAATTCTTCTGTAACAAAAATCCATGATCTTGCCTATCACTGACAGATACAAATGCATCTTCTAAATGCTGTGCTCGAGTCAGTGGACTAGGAGGTTAAGAAGCCGGCTGCTGATTTTCCTCAGAACAAAAGGCAGAGATCATTTTAAAGCTGCCCTTTGAAGAAAAGTCA